CAGTACCTAGCATTGCACCCCTTTGATTCATCCTGCCCTCATGTGGTTCAATCATTTTGATTTATTTTAGGAAGTGTTCTTGTGTGCAGGGACTCTGTTTCATCCTCCTCCCCACCATCATTCAGCAGGTGAATGTTTTCTAGCCCAGGCTTAAAGTCATCAGATTTGTCATTGTTGACCTTTCTGACCCATCCTGGACTTTCTTGACAACTTACTTTCTGTAAGTGACACAGTGGTGGGAATTGGGTGCTTAGAAATTGTTGCAAGGGCTGGAGGAACAGGATCTAGACTGGGCTTCCCAGGAATGGCTCTCAGGACAAGACTTAAGAGCTCCACCACAGTAGCTCTTATTTTAGAATCTGCCCCGGAACTGGTACCTTTCAGACAAACCCCTCACTTGTGACCCAGGGGTCAGGAAGCTGGGCCACTGCTTTTCCTGTCACAGCTTCTGTTGGCCCTGCAACAACCAAGTGCCTCTCGTGTCCAGGAAGCTGGTAAATGGGCACTGGAACACTGCTGAGAAAACCTCAAGTCTCCGATCACGCTGCAGCAGGAAAGTAGCTGGAAAGAACAGAATGAGGCCTCCAGCTCATTCCAGTTCCAAGCAGTGCAAGTGTGCATCTCTTTGGTTGAGTGTATTTCATGAACAAGATCCTCGCTGCAAAGGTGTTGCTTTTGCAATGCAGGAAGGCATTGCTAAAGGAAGAGAGAATGCAGCAACTGCATAGCCATGGTTTTTGCTCCATCCTCCTGATTCTTCTCCCTCATATCTTCCTGGCCATGCTTCTCTCACCAAAGCTAACTCATTCTACTTCATGAGATCTTTAAAAGTTGTAGTTTCCCAAGAATAAGCACGGGGTTCTCTTTTCTCTGTATTAGCCGATCCCATCCATGCCCATGACTTCAATTGCCATGTGTTCAGGACTCTCAGCACAGAGCTCCTTTCTCTGAGCTCCAACCTGAACGTCCTGTCAACACATTGCCTAGAAAGCCTCAAAGACATCTCATATCTGGCCTGCACACCGAAATCAGAACTTGGTCCTCCCTCCGTCTTCTTCCTCTCCATGGACCGCACTGTCATCCATCTACCTGCACAAGCCGGAGGGAATCATCTCTCACTGTCTCACCTGCCCGTACCGTCCGGGATCTAATCAGTAATTGATTGCTTATTGACTCTACTACTGCAGTTTCTCTCAAATCCATCTATATTTTTCCTCTATCTCCAATTGCACCTACCTTAGCTCAAACTATCATCTTCAGCAACATCGTCCCCTGCAATAGTACCCTGTTATGAGTCATAGCAGTAATGTTAACAGCGTTTCCCACCTTCCCTCTAGTCTGTCAAATCCAATCAGTTTCCACACGGCAGCCAATAGCTCTTTGAAAGATTGCTCTTAATACTGCATTGTTGAAGCCCTTTGATGGCTTCCTGTTTTCTTATGACCCAAATCCTTAATATGGTTCAAAATAATCTACATAACTTGACCTACTAGTCTCAGCTCCTGCTACTTACTGCTTGCTTTATTCACCACTGTACACTGATTGGCCTTCCTCTGGCGATTTAGAATGAGCCATGCTTATGCCCAATCTGGGCTTTACACCGGTTGTTTGTTCCCGTGTTCTGGAATATCCATACCTCTTGTCACATCCCAAAGGAGACTGTCTCCAAACCCTGGGTTCAGTTCCCACTGGTTAACTCATACCACCCTGGACTCTTTGTTCCTAGAATTTACCACAAATGGAATACAATTCTATAATTATTCCACATTTGTCTCTGGCTTGAACGTAAGGGCAGAAGCCATGTCTCACACTAGTTACCAGAACCTGCCACAGTGCCACACACACAGCAATAATTTAACAATGAACACTAATAAAGTCACAGTGATAGATCCAGGCACTATTTCAAGCTCTTCATTCTTAGTAACACATTTAATCCTTGTAACAAACTATCTCGTTTGTGGGACAAAGTGCCTAAAATACTGGCTTAAGGGGAAGTGGTTTATCTGGCTCGTGGTTTCAGAGGTTTTAGTCCGTGGCCAGCTGGTTCCAAAGCTGAAAGATCACGGTGGAAAGGCATGGTAGAGCAAAGCTGCTCACTTCATGGCAGCTGGGGAGAGGGCACGGGGGAAGAGCACTAGTGAGAGATCCTTCCTCAAAAGGCACACCTCTGTGATGACCTCCACCTGCACGTTCTAACTCCTAAAGCACATTCAGTGGTGAACATCCTTGGATGAATCCACTGATGATTCAGTCACCTCTCCAGGACTCTCTCTAGTTAAGCTGACAAGATTAAAAGGCACAAAAACCTAGGATATAGGCATTATTATTACTCTTATTTTATAGATATAAAACAAGGTAGTGAAGTGAAGTTGCTAAGACACAGTGGACATCGGGACTCGAACCCAGCAGTTCAGATCCAAAGCCTGTATGTACTCTGCCTCCATTTAACTATTCACTGAATTGCATTACTCAGAGAATTGCTCATAAACACATTCATAATTATAGAGCACTTTTATAGCAGAGTTTAACTTGTTTAACTATGGAGCAGATAGGTACAGTTTTCTACCATTTGAAAACCGCAAGAAATAATCCCTCAAAAGGTGAATACTATTAGTGATTTGAACAAGTTGAAATAATATTCAAGGTCTTCATACTTTTTAGATTCATGAAAATTTATTAGAGAAATACGCTTAAGACCATATATATGCATATACATGTAGTCATACTTTAACAGACCTTTCTGTGTTGTATTAATTTGAAAAGAAGCAAACAGAATGACCATTAGCCCCCTTGTTTCAATATTTCTAATTGCTAAACAATAGATGTCAATTACATTTCAAGCCGGGCGTAGTGGTGCACGCCTGTAGTCCCAGCACTTGGGAGGCTGAGGCAGGAGGATGGTTGTGAGTTCGAGACCAGCCTGGCCTACAATGTGAGCTCAAGGCCAGCCTGAACTACATAGTGAGACCCTGTCTCAAAATGGCAAAAAAAAATTACATTTAAAATTGTTGCCTTGATGCTGGGTATGGTGGTACATGCCTGTAATCCCAGCACTTGGGAGACTGAGGCAGGAGATCACTGTCAATTTGAGGCCAGCCTGGGCTACAAAGTGAGACTCTGCCTCAAAAAAAAAAGTTGCCTTAATCACTGTGGGCTTTTTATCATGGTTTTGGGAAGAAGGCTTTTTGCAAAACCTAAGAAAGTCAGGCGCCATCCATCCCAAGTAGCTCTATTACTGCCATGAAATGCTCTCACGTTTCTTTTCCACATTTAACAACAAAAGTTAACACTTGCCAACATTGGTAAAGATGTTCGGAGTAGCATGTGATGATACTTGCATTTTTACTGCTAAAGAAAAGGTACTAATAAATACCAAAGCACCAACTATTAGTGCACTATTTGATGAGGGTTAGATGATTCAGAATTCTGAGTCATTATTAATGTAATTTCCTAAAATAGTAATAGGGGCATTAATCCCAAGATGTTTCATGCATTTATCAGCTATTTAAATTCTTATAGATCTTAAGATTGTACTTCTATGACTTTTGTAGCAATATTGAGAAAAAAAGTTGATTCCAATGGTAAATAGTTTAAAGGGACAGAGGTTTCTTCATGATATAGGCATTGCTGGAATCTGTCCAATCCAGGCTTCCCATCAAACCATGACAAAGGAGCAACCATTCAGGGGACTGACTGAGAACTTCCTGTGTGCTATCTTAATCGACTATTTGGAAACGGAGGGTCCTCAAATGCTTTTTGGTAAGGAAGGTGTCTATTCAGCAGTGCACAGCCTGTTTAATCAAGGTTAGCTTGCCCATGAAAAAGAGCTTTTAGGTAGGCAAAAAGTTGTGGAGTTTGTGAGGACTTCTTGGGCTCTCAGTTCACAACTAAACATATGTGGGACACCATCCTGTGGACTGTTAACCACAGCCTTTAAAAAACCAAACATTAACTCCCCTTTTAATGAGCATACAGCTTTTGTATTTTCCTTTAATGAGTTTGACATTTCAAAATAAACTTTGTGACTAAAAGAAATTCAAAGTAAAGGTAAATTTAGAACGTTTCAAACGATGTAGACACTCCCATCTTTCCAGTCTCTCCGTGGCTGAAGACACAGTCCTGCGTGGCGCAATCTTCTGTGGATGCTGAATTGACTATTCCGGAGAGCTCTTCCTGGGTGGGCTCTGCTATCTGGGCTGCACAGGAAAGCTTGGACGCTGCCTATGATTGAGACTGTTGCGCATGTCTCATCCGTTTTCTAGACAAACCGGGCAGCTTCTTCATGACAGTAGCATGACTATGTCCTGTTTCCTGGTGTTTCTCAGGGATTTAAGCCAAGCAGGCCAGTAAAACACAGTAAAGGTTTATTTACAGACCATGTCTTTCTTTTCTATCTTCCTGTGGGCTGAGTACGCAGGCAGCCGGTGGAAGATGTGCCAGCAACTCTGCAGCTGATTCTTCTCTCTGGTTCAGTTACTACAGGCTGTCATGAGTGAGGCAGACGGATTCGTTCCTAAAGTGCAAACTAACAACTGTTCCGGTTCGGGTCGTCCATGAATCCAAGGGAAGCACTGACTAGACCCGAATTCCGCACTGGACGTGAGGTCACTCCTGGCTGAGGTGTGCCTAGTCAGATTCCCCTATGACACGTCTACACCTCCGCTCCTAAACAGAGGTGTGTGTCTTCGTCTGATCCTGCACCCGTGGGTCAACTCTGGCCGCGACCGAGGACTGCGCTGCCGCGTACGTGGGAGGGATTACACAGCACGCCGGCGCGTCCCGGTCCGCCTTCACGGGCCGGTCTACACCTCTAGCCGGGGGCTCCGGGCAGCCGGCGGTCGGCTTTCCGCTTCTCAAGGCGGGAAGGCCGCCCTGCGAGCACCACAGTGGGGCCAACGGCCGCACGCCGAGGCCAGCATCCCAATCTCCTTCCCGCCCGCCGCGCCCAAACCACAGCTCCCGGCAGGCACCGCGCGGCCGCCTGCCGAAGCCCGCCCCCGCGCAGGGCATGCTGGGAGTCGGGCGCGGCGCTCCTGGACTGGCAGACGCGAGGCATCAGTGTCGCAGGCTCTTGGCGACGTCTTCGGAGCTCGTCGTGACGGAGGGCCGCGCCCTTGTCCTGCGCTGCGCTCTGCGTCGGCCTCACGGGCCCCGTCACGCCCTTTTCCTTGACAGCTGCGCCGAACCGGGAGCGGCGGCTAGCGGGGGCGCGCAAGCGCAGCAGCTCGCGTCGCAGAGGCCGGCCGGGGGGCGGGGCGGACGTGAGCGGCTGGCGGCGTCGGGGACGCGCACGTAGCCACGCAGAGGCCGTCACGTGGGGCACCGAGGATCGCAGTGCGCGTGGCCGCGGCGGCTGTGTGAGGTTGAGTCAGTTGTGAGAGTCGGAGCTGCTGACCCCGCGGCGGCCCCGCGAACCCGCGACCGAGCGACAGGCGTTGAGGCCCGAGGCCGGAGCCTGGCCCCGTGCTAGAGCTCGGCCGAGCCGGGCCGCGCCCCCGCCCAG